CCCCCCCCGTTTCCTCTCTGCCCGGGGAAAATCCTACGTGAAAATACCATTGCTAAAAAAATGACAATTTGACTATTTTTGTCTAAAGATTGAGATCGTCACTGGCAGTACATACCCATATCCAAGGATCCGTTTCATAGCCCATTTGCTTATACTTATATAGTTCCAGTTGGAATCTGGTTTGAGATGCGTCAGGCAGGACCTCACAAGTTGCTGAATTTTCCTGTTCTCCTCCAGCTCTCTCTCTCCCTCCCTTTCCCAAGTATGCGGGAATTGCATTCTGTTTCCCTTGTCGCCAGTCGCTTCTGCACAGAATCTAGGACAGTACGTGGGTCAAGCATCAGTGACCCCCCCCCTCCCCGCCCGCCATCCCTCTCCTCCCAGCCAATTTGTAGGCCCTTCGTTTCCTTTCACTCCTGAGGGACCTGGGCAGAAGATCCAGTGCACTCCTCTCCAGATTGCTTTCTTTGATGGTAATAAGCCAGTCCGCATACAGCGACCTGCTCCTCTGAATTTTCCCCCAAAATGGCTATTGATAGATACTTCATCCCTCCCCCCCACCCCCCCCTCTCTCTCTCTCTATCTATCTCTCTTTCTCTCTCTCTACCACACTCTGAGGAGGTAGGGGCTGCTCCGATTTTAATGAGACTGGGAAAAAAGAACAGCCAGGCAAACCTACAACCTTGATCTTCGGCCATAATGAGGTGGGTTTTTTTGTAAGTGTTTTACGGCGCTCACAACTGCATAAGGTCATATGATCGCGCGGGACACACCAAACATTTTCAGTTGGTAGTAAATTTTGAATTTTGCCCGGGTCGTGGCCTAAGCCCACTCTTATCGATTTTGGACCACCAAGGAATCTTTAACGTTCGCAACTTGCACACGGGACTTCCGAGATTTTTCGCCCTTGTCCAAGAAGGCTAGGTTTACATCTTTCCTACCAGAAGATCAGGGGTGTGGCTGAATGACAGCAGTAAGATTGAGCCAAGGAGTAGCAGTAGAAAGGCAGCAGAAAGAGTCAGGAGCCCTGGGGAGGGGGCACAGGAGGTAAGGCAGAAAGTGGAGACGAAGGCAGACAACAGAACATTGTTAGAGAGCAGGAAAGGAGGTGAAAGGAGACAATTTTAGAGAAAAAAATGTACGGTCGCTATCTGGATTGAAACCCGGGACCTTTGATTGAGAGGCGAAAACCTTAAACTCTAGCCTCCTCTATAATGAGGACTCGAACCCATCCCTCTTTCACACAGCACATTACATCATCCTAACTCAACCGTGGTTTGGAGGAGGTGAAGTCACTGGCCTTACGATTCTGGACCTCTGTCGTCGATCATTGCTAGAATCTTACTTTTAAAAATCCGACTTAAAGCAAGTGTTTAGGTTTCTCAAATTCAGGCTCAGAAATATGATAAACTGATGTCAAAAGACTTGAGATGCTTTAAAAATCAAAAGCAAAATAAAAGAAACATCGGGAAGTCAGGGCAGCAACGAGGTGCGAGCATATATCCATGTCCAAGCCGTCTCATTACCAGGCTATTAAGCAAGAAAATGGGAATAAGGAGAGTTGTTGAAACTTTACCAACTTTAGGAAAAGCAGAATTATCAATTTGAGACAACTAAAATAGGAATACCAAACGCCTGCTCGACTGATGAAAAGCAAATTGTTGAGATGAAAACACTGCTGGAAATCCCCTGAAAATGGGGAAAGAGCGAGTGTGGTAAAGGAGAACAAAATTAGAGAAATTATGTCTTCAGGCAGGGAATGAATTTGGAAAAGTAAAGAGTGAAGAAAAAGGTAGGGGTGGGCGGAAACGGTT